CCCCCCCCCTCTTCCACATCCACACATGCATTCGCACTATACCCGATTTGAGCCAACGGGAATACAGTAGATTAGGAGGGGTTTGATTGCACATGTAAAACGGGTCAATCAAATGCGCTCCTCTCTCCTTTCTTTTCGAGACTGCACCGCCGGCGGATATTGAATCCGCGTCGAAGCAAACAAACAATGGAAACGCAACTGGTTACCCATTTTCTTATTTTTTTCTCGACCGGGAACACCACTTCCCTGCAACACGGCAGAGACCCATGTTTCTTCATGCGGGAATGTGTTTGAATTTGAGTCCTGCCCGCGAAGCCTCCTTTCGGCGAAACACAGGCGCCTTAGTCACCAGGTGCGAAACTAAACTCGTGGATGTGGGGAGGGGGAGGGGGGGCACTGCAGAAAATACCTACTCTATAATTTGTCTTACAAAATCAGAATATTTAAGAAGTACTGTTAGACAGACTACATCATTACAAGTGAAAAATTAAAACTTATCATTTTAGGTGATTTTATTTGGCTCGACCCTACAACACCTAACCAACAGAAAAAAATATCCTCACAGATTTGCAGCACTCACTAAAACCACAGTTTTAGTGGTTTTATGCTCTGCCGTTTGCTTGCAAACTGTCCACACCACCAAGGTCACAGTGAGGACCGACTAGGTACCCATTGGTACTCAACACAGCCGCAGCCCGGAGAACCTACACTGTCACACTCCGAGTCGAAAAGTACGTACGGCACGGCGACGGGTACAGCAGCATATTCGTGAGATTTGAAAAATCAAGGGAAAAGGAAGGGGAGGGGGAGGGGGGTAAGGAAGATTATTTTCGAGGTGCCATGAAAAAAATTATGATGGATATTATTGACACTGAAAAATAATTTAGGTAAGCTATCCAAATGAGTAACTAAATCCGAATCACCCTATAGCTAAATGCTGAAACTGTACTGAAGAAAGTCAACTTGATGTACCATACCTACTTGCTTCTTAAGTTTCTGAAAGCCTCAAAATAAGTAAACACTTGTCGCCGCACGAAGCCTATGGTTTTTGGCGTTTCCTTGGAAGCACAGCGAAGCAACTCCGTCTTCGGACAACGCCAGGAGGCGACTGGAGCTTACCGTTGCTGCGAGCGCGAAGCGCGAGACGCGACCAACGCGACCGCGACTTAGTGCCAACGCAAGGTGCCCACCGCACACCTCACACGCCGTCCACATCTGTGAATCATCTGTAAAGAACATCATAAGTTCTCGCTCTTCAGGAGCGCCACAGAAAGAGACCGAGGAACGGCCAGTAAATATGTCTAGCTTTATTTGAGAATGATAAAACAAGTTTCTGAAACGAGGGCGCGCTTTTCAAGCGGCTCATTTCAAATCCAGCCAAAGAGCGCGCCTGCGCGCCTGCTCGGAGAGGTCGGATTGTGTGCGCCATCTGGTGTCAATAAGCAGAGGGTGCATTTTGGATTTTGTGTCATATTCAATTGATGTGGACTAATTTTTACCATACCTACGGCCTGTTTAGTGTTTTTAGCTTTTAATTACTATGGTCAAAAGAGCATTTATCGGTTAAACATGTATTTAAATGTTAAACAATATGAGAATGTTTGTGCTGTGCTGGCGCACAAGTTTCTCATGGAAGTCTAGGTGGCAGTGACAGATCCCGGACCCGGAAAAGGAGTGCATTTGGGGTTTCTTCTATCAAAGACACCGTGGTGGTGAGAACCCGGTAAGTGTAACGTGTATTTTTATCGGAAGTAATCCGCGATATTTTTACGGAAATTTTTTACCGTTGAGTCGTGAAAGTGAACTTCTTTGTCGTGAAATTCAAAAGGTGCTAACACTTTGTTATACTTTAATCGGCTTCGGCTAAAATATCGGTGCTGAAGCCGTCTGTTTGAACGTGGTACATTGCCGTAATCACCGTAATGTTTGTATCCACCTTTCACACTTCAAAATTAAATGAAACCACGTTTGTGCATTTTTCTACCTGTCTAATCTCTAAGCATCTCAATTACACCGCTCTGTACTTTAACTTCTCCGTTCGGTCGTGTAACTTGTTTTGTTGTTCCGGCCTTCGGAGGTTATGATCCCCTAGTACACTTTGCACAGTATCAAATCACCTGTTTTTACCGATTTTGTCGGTTTCTCTTTACCTTCTCACTCGTTTTACGCTTTAACAGCTTTATTCCCATTAGGCTGCTGGTTCTTGTTTACCTACTTGCTCGTTGAGTTCTTAACCTCTTAGATATTGAGTGTTTTGTACCTCAGAATCTCTGTGGGCTCTGGAGGAAGCTTCTTACCTCTTTGCTCTTTACCTCCCTGAACTTTATTATTTTCTTCAGTTTCAGGACACAATGGGCAAGCCAAAGAGGGAAAAGAAGTCCGCTATCAATGAGGTGGTCACCCGTGAAATGACCATCAACCTCCACAAGAGGCTCCACGGTATTGGCTTCAAGAAACGTGCCCCCCGTGCCATCAAGGCCATCCGTGCCTTCGCTGAGAAGGAGATGGGCACTAACGATGTCAGAATCGACACTCACCTCAACAAACAGCTGTGGTCTAAGGGTGTTAGGTAAGAATCATCTTGCTTTCTAAATCCATTTTATGTGGTTGATTACGATTACTACCCTCATTGTGTCATGTCAATTTTATGTTTGCACCCCTGACTTAGTCTCTCCCAATTCTGACCTATTTATAGTAATCCAGCTTCATTCCTAACATTTTTACTATTTGTGTGTACAGGAACGTCCCCTTCAGGATCAGAGTGCGGCTTGCCAGACGCAGGAACGAAGATGAGGATTCTCCCAACAAGCTGTACACCTTGGTGACATACGTTGCAGTGCCTACCTTGAAAAGGAGCCAGACCCTTAATGTTGATGTGAGTCAAGAATAAAAAGTATTTGTATAAACTCAACTACTTGTGTGCTGTGTTTTTTGTCCCTTTGTTGCATTGAATGTGACTTTCTGAACAACAGTAGTTTTTCCAAGTATTTTTATTTGTATTTATACATGAGGCACAATATTCACAATTTCAATTTCTCTTCAAATAGGAAAATCTATCTGATGTGGTTGTTGACAGTTTAACTTCTGAAATATTTATTGAATCACCCTTGCAAGATGACTAGGAACATACAACCAAATGATTTTTTTCCCCATTGGATCATTAGCTATTAGCTCAAAGTAGAAATTCAGTTCTCGATAAGTGGAGAGCTGATTTCATCATGGCTTTTTATTTAGAGCAGCTATTTCTGTCTGACAGTTTGATTTTGCTTTCAATGCACATTACTAGTCACTGTCTTCAGTTTTGATTTTAAACCTAACATATTCTGCGTTTCACATAAATTAATATCCCACAACTAATGAAGGACAGTCTCTCACATTTGATCACAACAGAACTATTTCAGTTCAATCTTAACACTAATTTCATTAAATAAATTTGTACAAGAAATTCTACTTATGATACATGATGAATTTGCCATGTGGACCTGACACAGCAACAGCAGTCCTTGGTGGCGCTCGTCCTGCGAAATCTAGTTGAGCTGCCAACTTAGCAGAGGCAGCAGCAATGACCTAGAGAAACATTAAAAATATTACTTCAGCTATAAACAAGAAAAGGAATTTTTAGTAGAGAATTTTTTTTTACCTGTGGAGGTAAAGCTCGTGTTACTGGGTGAGGCCGAAGAGGTTTTGGCTTTTTTGACCCAAATAGGAGTGATAAAGTTCTCTCGTTTGGGTTAACTTGTTGAATATCTCCCCTCTCACCAATCTTTGCTCCAAAGTTAGGTGATGCATATCCAGAACCAGTTAATGATTGTATTAAATCAGAGTAGTTTGGTTGAGGATTTTTTTGTCCTTTTTCATCTCCTGGTGATGCTTGTTGCTTATCTGAATTGATATTATTGACAGGCTTAAGCAACAATAAACCTGCATGTGCTCCTTGCACTGTAATCAAGTCAGATATAATTAGATTCTAGCATTACATTATAAAATCATGGTGATTAGAAAAAAAAATTCTAAATTGGAACATAGGTTTGATGGATAAGTTTTATACTTACATGTGTTTAGAGAAGACAGGTCAGAATCTCGTCCCTGGTTTGTGTTTCGCTTGTAGTAGGTTGCTGATGGTTGGCCGGACGATTCGGGTCCTCCAAAAGAAGAATCAGAATCTGATTGTGAGTAACTCAGACTGTTCACCTCCCCTGGGGGTCCGTAGCTGTCGGAGGGGTGATTGTGTGACGAAGGCGAGTCACTGGAATAGGTGTCACTCGATATTGAAGATCCGGCGGGGAAGGACGGCTGAGAGGCGTCTGAGAAGGACGGCGCGCCCGATGAGGAGCCGCTGCTGGAGTACGTTCCGGAGGACAGAGGCGTCCCGCCAGAGAACGGTGTGCCCGATGAGGACGAGCTGCTTGAGTATGTCGCACCCGAGGACAGGGGTGTCCCGCTGGAGAACGGTGTGCCCGATGAAGACGAGCTGCCGGAAAATGACGCCCCCGAGGACAATGGTGTCCCGCC